AGCAGTAGTAGTAGTAGTAGTAGTAGTAGTAGTTGTTGTTGTTGCAGTTGTTGTTGCAGTAGTAGTAGTAGTAGTAGTAGTAGTAGTAGTAGTAGTAGTAGGAGTAGGAGTAGGAGTAGGAGTAGGAGTAGGAGTAAGTAGAAATAGAAGTAGAAGTAGAAGTAGCAGAAGTAGCAGTAGCAGTCGGAGTAGCAGTAGCAGTAGCAGTAGCAAGCAGTAGTCGTCGTCTTCGTCGCAATGATAACAGCAATAAAAACTTGGGACGTGGGCTCAATGGCCCGCAGTTCGAGCCTAGTCGAGGCTTCGAAGATCCTACAGCCTGTGAGCTCTAAGCGTTCGGGGATGGAAGATGAGAGTGGTCTCGGGGGCATGGCCATGCTACCGCTATAGATGAAAGAGGCTACGCAGTACGTAAATCACAAAATCCCACGCGCAGCAAGGGAGTTTCACGTAGTCCCCTTCGGCAGTTCTCATCACGAAGGGGCAAGACCCTGATTTCCGAAAGGCCTAGTTTGAGGCTTTCGACGAAAACCATCCACCGCAACATAGCTGCTACAGTCACTGTAGTCCCATCGTGACAAGTGGGAGCGTCGGTTGTGATAGTCTTTCTGTTCCTGTACACTCGTGATCATGACTCATCTACGCCAATATGGAAGCCCCCAACGTCCTTGCCACTCTTGGCCTTGCTCGCCAGAGCTTTCACCTCCTCTGCCTCCTTCGCGGAAACCATGAAAGTCTCCTGCGGCCGTTCGGAAGGGGAGGGGTGTCAGTTGCTGTGTCCGCTTGTTTCGGGTTCAGGGTCTGGGAGAAACGGCGAGTCCTTTTGGGGCCGACCGTTGCTTAGTGGGGGCTCGCCTTTCTTCAAAACGACGGGCCAAGAAGCTGGCAAATCCATCTAACCTTGAGGCTTTCGGCTTTCGGCTTTAGGAATTTCAAAGCCTTCAGGACGGCAAGACCTCATGCGCAGATCCAGCGTCCCAAACCCACGCCCGGAAATCCCAAGTCGAGTAGGGCTTTCGTGAGCCTCCTGCAGAATCTCTGCACCGGGGTTTCCAGTTTTTTTGCACGAGCATTCTAAACCCTAAACCCGAAACCCTAAACCCTGCCCGAAGCCCTAAACCCTAAACCCTAAACCCTAAACCCTAACCCGAAACCCTAAACCCTGCCCGAAGCCCGAAGGTCTGCTTCAGGGGGCGCTGTTGGCATGGAAGGACTGATGGGACATGGCAGCGAAGCAAGGCGCGACACAACATCACGTCTGGAGGAGCCGTCTCGTTTGGGGGTGCGTATGGCCTGCAGGGCTGCTGGGCTGAAGAGCAGAAGGACTCAATAATGTGCGGACGAGCAACCCCCATGTGTCAGTTACTGCGTCGACCCTGAGTGTGGCGGTATCAATGCACCAAACCCCCAAAACTACCGAAGTAATTATCCCACAATACCAGCCGAAAAACTCCAAACGTCCAAACGAGCACAAGACATGTTAACGTCACTAGTCCCTTAACCCCCAAGCCCGAAACGCTAAACCTTGAACCCAAACCCGATTCGCCTAGTAACTCGAGCCAAAGGCCCTAAACCCTAAACCCTAAACCTAAAACCCTAAACCCTAAACCTCAAACCTCAAACCCTAAACCCTGAACCTTAAACCCTAAACCCTCAACCTTAAACCCCAAAGCTTAAACCTTAAACCTTAAACCTCAAACCCTAAACCTCAAACCTTAAACCTCAAACCCTCAACCTGAAACCCTAAACCCCATGAGGTCCTGGAACTCTTTCTCCTTGGCCTGCTGCGCGAAAGCCACGCGCTCGGCCAGGGAGCCCTTCGGGTCCGCCTGAAAGGGTAGGTTAAAGGGTTCAACCTTTAGGGTTTAGGGTTCAACCTTTAGGGTTTAGGGTTTGAGGTTTAGGGTTTAGGGTTTAAGGCTTGGGGTTCAAGGTTTAGGGTTTAAGGTTTATGGTTCAAGGTTTAGGGTTTAGGGTTTAAGGTTTAGGGTTTAGGGTTTAGAGTTGAGGGTTTAGGGTTTGGGGTTTAAGGTTTACAGTAGGGGTTTAGGGGTTTAGGGGTTTAGGGGTTTACGATTTACGATTTAGGGTTCAGGGCTTGAGGAGTTGAACCACAAACAACCCAGAAAGTCCCTGCGTACTACTGAAATGGAATCAGGTCCCCAAAAGCATCACAAGGATGGTCTGTTGGGACGGAACTCTGGCCTCTATGGACCCTCTGGATAAGGTTGACTACAAGTGTTAGGATAAGCCTTGCTAGAAAGGTTACTTGGAGGTTCATGGGCAGTTATAAGTGGGGTTATAAGTCCCCTAATATGGGTTATAATTATAGTTCCCCTACTTAAAACCCTACTTATAACTACCCATGAACCTCCAAGTAGGGGCTCTACGCAGTAAGATTTGGAAGACTCTCGAGCTGCTAGGCCTTGTTTCGGGACAGCTTAGCCCCCGGAAGCTTCCTGAAGCTTCCCAAGAGAGCCCAATACCCCTTAAATAAGGAATATGCCTTAAATCATAATACTAAGGCCCCTACAGATTAAGGTATATTCCTTATTTAAGGGGTATTGGGCCCTCTGGGTTTGGCTGATCCCTTCAAGGCGTCCATAAGCATACCATAGTGCCTTCATATAAGGCCTGAAGCATTGGATTGTAGGGTTTGGGGGCTAGAGGGAATAAAGGAAAATCTGAAGCCTCTTGACTTCGAAAACTTGCGACCCGAGGCAGTTGAGTTGGGGGAAGATGAGACATCGAGGGGTTTACGCCCCGGGCTTGAGGAATCTATCTAAGGCTTTTGTGAGGGTTCGGAGATATCCAAGAGGCAAGGCTGCCGCCTGCTTCACTGAAGATTTGGAAACAACAATAGCCCCTTCTTCGTCCCTTGATGGGCACAGTATAATCTACCCCAAAACCCTTTCTACTGCGTCATACCCCCCTTATGGACTCCTTGAAGGAACGCTCACAACTCCTTGAAGGACCCCTATTCTACCTCTATATTCAGATTTGACGACCCCCGAACTCCTGAAGGCAACAAGCCATGCCTTCGCAGTCGCCAGGTCCACTCCCTCGTGGGCTTTGGGGTTAGGGCTTAGGGTTTGGGGTTTAGGGCTCAGCAAGGATCAGGGCTTGGAGTTTAGACTGCTTAGGGCTCAGGGCTTAGCGTTGAGGGTTGAGGGGTTTAGGGTTTGGGGGCTAGTCTAGCTCCAAAGCGGCGGGAGACATGAGGGCAAAGAGGGGTTCCGAGATTGAACTCCCAGCCCCACTTTAATTATAGCACAATTTACCTAAGCATTAACGAACCTGCTATCAGTCTTAGGAGTAACCTGATAAAAGCCCTGCATCGAAACCTTGAGCCACCGAAGCACTGCGCCAAAAGCTTCCAATCCTCAAATACCAGCCAAGCCCGAACACACAGTCCTAGCTGAACCTGAGCCCAGAACAATCTAAGCCCACAACAGCCTACCTTAAGGCCCTTGGACAAGCGAGCAAAAAGCACAAAACCCCTAAACCCCTGAACCCTA